CGCTGGGAAGCACCTGGAAGGCAGGGAGAGCTGGCGGGGTTCTCCGGGCCCTCCTGATGCCCTGCCCACCTCTTTGTGGGTGCACGRAGACCACCCTCTTTGTGGGTCCGGAGCACGGGCTGCCCGCCAGTGGGAGCGGTGGCCTCCCGAGAGATGCCCAGCAGCCAGAGGGGAGTGCGGGTGGAAGAGAGGTTCCTTACGGGAACTCAGTCTGTGGGCAGAAAGTTTGTGACTAGCTGAGGGCAARCAGCCTCTCATCCACAGTGGTTGCTTCCTTTTTCTAGTTCTGCTTCAGTAATTCCTTCTCTTGAGTTCTAGGAAAATGTGTGCAAGCAAATTTCAAAGCTGTGAAGGTGTTGTGAGACTAGGGCTATTCATGCCGTATTTTCAGCTGTCTCCACCGAATACCTGACWATTGTATTTGGTAAAGCAGATGCATCTCTCTAAGACAGAAAGAAGGGAGTGAAACAGCAGAAGCTGTTGCTCAAGAGAAGTGGTTGCCCAGAATTTTCCTTAGGMGCATTTTAGGCCTGTTCTTGTCTCACATTACCTTCAGTTTTTCTGAATTGCCTGTCTCTTCTAGCAAGGGATTAAAAAACCATATCTCCCTGCAAGAAACTCTTTATCAGGCTGGGACACCAGTTGTTATACTGACTGTTGTTCCAYAGATAGCTGCAAATCATGCTGTAGTGTTTCTCCTACTGGAAGGCTTCCAGATGAGCAGAAGTATTTACAATAGCTATACACCTGCTTCCCTGTGAACTTTCAGAAACATAGTTATCTGAGGATTTAGGACACTTAGAGTGCAACAAATCCCCATTGCCTCTGGAATATTTATGAAAGGATACATGAAATTATGTCAATTTGTGTTTTGCTTAGAGCAAATATTTGCATTGACTTGTTTTTGGACTTGCTCAGTCCAAAACCATCTGGTATAACAGATAGCAATGATTTTGAAAAAGGGGTAGAGGGATCCTATGACTGAAATAGCAGAGGATGCTGCAGGATAGGAATATAAGGCATGAGCAGAGTTGTAGTGACTTAAAGATCTTCTGGCAGAGGTTCTTGCAGCATTTCAGAATTGAGAGTGGAATTTATCAATGGATCAGCARTACCTACATTTAATTTGACTGACTGCTTCAAATTAATGCACGGGTTACTGTCATTAGCAAAATCCCAATTTAGCCTGTAGCATTTTCTAGGCCCCATGCTTCCCCTTGTTGCCATTTCCTAAGAATAAAGCTTCAGCAAGTATACATTTGCATATAAGTATTCCTCTCCCAATGTGCAGGATTACTTTTCTTTTTCAGATGAATGATGTTCTTCTTTTTTGTKGTCAGAGTTTGAAGTACCAATCTGAGAAGAAGTAAGCTCTCTTTCTATAATAGTCTAGGGCTTTTCATCCCATAAATTCAAAATTCCAGAAATTGAATGTGGACTTCAAASCAAGCTTTATAATAGCTCCAAAGTTTTGTGGTATCTTATAAAAGATAACATAAAATCTAAGGCATTCTCTTAGATTTTTAAAGGCTTGTGGCATTCCTAATTTAGGAAAATTTGAAAATTAAGACAATTTCTAAATATGTGGCAATACTGATGATTTTGATATCTACTGCACTCATTTGGACAATAGAACTGTACTAAGAATCASTGGTAAGGAACAGTTTCTGCACAAAGTTTTCCAGTCATTCCTAAATGTTGAGGTGAATTTATGGTGAGAGGACAGGGCAGGACTGGCCACACTGCCCTCATGTAGAAGCTGCCAGATTTCCATGATGCAGGTGTGTATTTAACTCCTCTGARTGATTGAGCATTCAACTCGGCCACATGCCAAAGAAAACACTGTAGCATGCAACAAGGCCCCAGATCATTCAGTTGTACAAGAGGTTCTAWTATTGCACTTCTTTCTGGAAATGAGAATTTATCAATTAACATGTTACCTTTTTAGGGTAGGTCTCATAGAACAGGAATTTCAGATTCTTAATCGACAGTGAAAATCTTCCATGTGCTGCTTTGGGCATAAATTTTGTTCATCCCAAACATTCTTCAAGTAAATGAATAAGATGATAAATAAAGCATGTATTAGTATAGTATCAATATTAATTTAAAATACATTTCCCATCAAACTATTTCAATATTTATTTGAGGTTGTCAAGACAAACTCCTACGTCTTCCCTCACAGATATTTTATGGCATTAATTTCTAGATGCATTGCACAGATCTCTCTCATTCGAATTTCAGGAGAAAACTGTGGGATGGAAGCATTGTGTGACTTTGTGTAGATGAGCCTACATGCAAGTGACATGATGCCATTGGGCCACTTAAATGAATTGTGAATTGTCAGAGACCTGGTGAGCATTATGATTCTTGGAGCCTCTGATAGTTTCAATATTACAGAGGTATATTGTACTTCCACACAAGAGAAAATGTAACCAGTGCTTTCAAAGCAGGAGTCTGTGTCACCAATCTCTTGCATGGAAGCAGTAGCAGTCACAAATCTAATAGCTATGGGACAGCAACTCTTGATTGCATTGTAGGGTTATTGTGTGCATTGCATGATGATTRTATGGCCCGTGACAAGTGGTGTTTCTCAGTGCTCTGCCTTGGGACTGGTGATCTTTAATATCTTTATGAATGACACAGACAGTGGGACTGAGTGCACCCTCAGCAAGCTTGCAGATGACACAGAGCTGAGGGGTGTGATTGACACAACAAGAAAAGGGACCATTCAGAGGGACCTGGACAAACTTGACAAGTGCTCCCGTGAAAATCTCGTGAAGTTCAAGTCCAGGTGCGATGTGTTTCATCTGGTTTGGAGTAGTCCCAGACCTGAGCACAGACTGGGAGATGAACTCATTGAGAGCAGTGCTGTGGAGAAGGACTTGGAATTTCTTGTGGAGGAAAAGCTGGACATGAGCCTGGAGTGTGCACTCACAGTCCAGAAAGCCAAACATATCCCAGGCTACACTCCACCTGGAATACTGGATCTGGCTCTAGGGTCCCCAGCAYAAGAGAGATGTGAACCTGTTTGAGTAGATCTAGAGTAGGCCACAAAGGTGATCCGAGGAGCTCTTCTCCTGCAAATACAGGCTGAGAGARCTGGGGTTCTTCAGYGTGGAAAAAATAAGGTCCTGGGGAGACCTTATTGAAGCCTTCTAGTAGTTAAAAGGGGCTTGTAAAAGGAGAGTGATTTTTTTACTGGGCAGGTAGTGACAGGACAAAGGGGATGGTTTTAAACTATAACAGATTTTTATTMCGTGTTAGGAAGGAATTTTTTGCTCAGGGGAAAGCAAGGCACTGGARCAGGTTGTTCAGAAAAGCTGTGGATGGCCTATCCCTGGAACATTCAAGGCTATGCTGGATGGGGCTCTGAGCAATCTCATGTGGTAGGTCACATCTGGCCGTGGGGTTGGAACTAGAGGATTTTTAAGGTCTCTTCCAACCCAAACTGTTCTGTGATTCTGATGACATAACGATCACATTCATGATTGCATTACAAAATGGATGAGTCCTTTCTCTTGTAAACCTGTGCTTTGTTCCCAGCCTCACCTATGTTCCCAGTCTCACATTTACCATGACTTAACCCCAGTAGTGACTGCTAGTAAAAACTGTATGAGTGTCATGGCAAGTTTATTAAGTAACAGTAGGAGAGCTGCAGCTGGCAGTGAGACTGTCTGTAGTGCCGTGGGCAATGCTATATATGTCTCCTAAACGACAGCGTATTGTTTGTGTTGCTTTTTATTTTCTCTTCTATGAAATCAAATAAAGTCCTGCCGCTGTTTGCTCATGCTGCTTCTCCAGCAGGGACCATAGTAATAATATTTTTCCATAGCAGATGTGCAGACTAAAGCTCACCTAATCTCCATGCTGGMTGTACCAGCAGTGGTAACACAAAACTGTGCCTGCATCTCTGCATGGTGTTATCAGTTTTGTTCTCGTGCCATCTCTCTTATGCTCCTGTCTTTGAGACTAGTACCCAAGCTGTGGCAATGGGGACTGTCCTTTACATGCTGATTTCAGTGATGTTTCGGAACTTTCATGCTTTTTAATATGGTTCTGTTGTGAGATCTGATCACAAAGCTTCTTGTGAGATGTGTCTTTATTCTGTTCCAAGTCCATGATGGAAGAGGAACTTGGCAAAGAAAAATCATTCAGCACTTACATGACAGTTGTGAGGAAAATATTGAACCGAAACAGAGCAGTCAGAAGCCAGAAATTTTTTTGCTGTTACACCCAGGATGTTTGCAGGTGGCAAGTGAAGTTCAGCTACCTCAGGGATTCTCACAGGGAATGACAGYTTCTTCACAGGCAAGAAATGGCCTGGGTAGAGGAATRGTAAGTGGAAGGCAAAGGAAACCCTGCAGGCAAGCACTGACATCTTGAATTCTCTAAGGAGTTAACTATTTATTTTCTTTTCTTTTTCCTCTTCTGCCTGTCTGTTGCAGGAGGCCTGAGGAGGCGGTGCAGGGTTTCAGTGATGTTATAGACTCTCCCACTGAAGGCTTTCCATGTGCCCTCACTCCTGCTGTCCCCAACAAGGTAAAAGCAGTCCATGTTCCTCTGGCTCSGGGCTGGCGTGTACTTTGAGTTACATGTGCAGAAGAAATTACTGAAATCAAGCTGGTGTGCATGCATGTCTTRCAGCTAGAGTTGCCTCCTTCTGTGAGAATCCTAAACTTGCTAATTTGATCAGTTCTTACACCATCCTATCTCAGGTCAATCTGACCCATTGAAAGAGAGAAATTCCTGATACCTGACTGACCAGGTTTCAGGTTAAGGTTTTGCAACACAAGCTGAAGACAATTTGGCCTGTTGTTTTGTTCATGCTACCAAYTAAGGAAGAACAATTCCATCATGTCTTCAGTGAACAAGTAGTTTCTTTGCCAAAACATGGAAGGAGCTTTTGGTTCCTTCAATATCTGGGTTACCACAGAAGATAACGTTAGCTTCGGCAAATGTCAAATTATTTTTCCCTGTTGTCTTTTCCTTTTCACAGACTGYGGACTTGTTTGAGATGATTGAAAAAATGCAGGTGAGGAGAAGTAATTCTTTCAGACTTTGGGATCTCCTAATTTTTTGTAGCAAACCAATAGCTGCTATTTGTCCTGTCACTTCACTCACAATACCCTTTAATGGTATTTAATRGGCTTGCAGAATTTTTAGGTCTTCTAGGCTCAATCGCTTACTCTTYAGTGGGATTTCAAAAGCATTTTTCTGTTTGTTTTTCCAATCAGCATGATGGAAGCAGTGGACATAGGTTATTGTAATTCTGTCTGTTCTTTGCAGAACTGTAATTCTGAGAGAAAATCAAAGTTGCAATAAGATGTCTCTGGCATCTTCTTCAGGAAACTCTGTTCTGCTGGGTAGCAGGTATAGTGACAGGTGATTAATGGGATGTTAACCTAACTGCATTTAGCAAGGTCAGACAGTTTAATAAATAACTACTGTAGGTCCTGTCTTTAACTTGTTCAGGAAAGGATGACTCAGGCTTAATTCTTACAGAAATACATGCATTTAGCTGCATATATTATGTTTTARAATTAAAGTAAGGCAGAGTTGGGGTTTTTCCCCTTTTACTGTATCAGATAAAGAAGTAGTAATGTAATAACATGTTACATGTGTTAAATATCTAACARTGAAGTCTTTAACTTTTTCAGATTATCTGTTTTCAGAGCATCTGTGCAGGTTAYAAGTATTTTCCTGAATGATGTAACCTCTTTAAAATGTTTCACAAAACGTGTAAGATGGCACAGAACTCGTGCTTTTTACTATGTGCAGGAGTTAAACCTACCAGACCGGTTAATTTCTTTTCTGGAATTTGGGTGATCAAATTCAGAATATGAGGAAGGTGCCAGACCTTAGTGGGACTATAAAGGTGAGGAGATGGAAGGTAGCAGTGGAATGCTGAGTATAGAGTTAAGAGGCTGAAGTTGCATTTGGTAGACTAGAGAGGAGGAGTGTGTGAGGGAGGGGCTGAAGGTGATTMTGCTATGTGTTCATGTGTAGACAGACACAGACCTTGCAGCTGCTCTACTGACATCCAGATTATGTTTGGGATGCGTTCTCAGTGCTTTAKGGTAGCAAGCTCTGTGAGTGTGCCTGGCTCACTTAATGCTGTGCAGGAAAGTAAGCTTGAGCTTGCAGTGCTGCTTCAGTTCAAGCACATGTTCAAAGGTATGACATTGCTTCACAGGCCTTTTGAAATAGGGATAAGGAAGAGTCACTACCAGGTGTCCCTTAGTGGAAGACTTGCTTAAGATTTTGAGTGTTTCTCAGCTCCCAGTTTACCATATGAAATGTCTCTGACTGGATTTGCACCTTGTTAGTTAGAGAACAGGGAGCTGATGGGAATTTCCAAGGCATGCAGACTGCCTTATTTTTCATCTATGATGTTTTCTTAGCTGCCCATTATTAAGACTGAGTGGTGGTTGTTTAGTCACCTGGCTTGCACTAGGAGAATCAATAACTGCTGTTTAATAGATTGTTTTGAAAGTTAAGTGTTTTCCAAAAGAAAAAAYTACGCTAATATTTTTTGGAATACTRTTTATTGTCTTTGTTTASATTTTTACTAATTCTTTATTCTCTTTAATTTGTTTTTGCTTTCCCTTCCATTTGACTGTGACTATCCGTTAGATTTGTTGAATCATTCTTGAAAATGAAATCTGTGATTTTCATTAGCAATCAAAGGGAGTAAAAGCCAAAGCAGGAGACTTGACATTTCTCCTATAAAATAACAAAAAAAGCCTCTGGATAGAATTGATTTTTGAGTATTTTAGCAATTGGATTGGAGTATAATTGTTCAACTGAAAATTAGGATAACCTGTTTCACATTTGGTGTGTTGAATTAACAGGTAAAGTTGTGCTGTCTTTTTATATTG